AACCCCCCCCCCCCCGGTGAACCACCAACTCCCGATACAAAGACAGCGGCCCCGCGGTGGGACGCGGGTGTTGAGTCCCATTCGCCCGCTGCTCGTATTTGCGAAAAATGCCGACTCCACGGTCGATCGCATGCTATCGGTAGAAGGAGAACGCCCACGTGAAAGGTAAATGCCCGGCAATTCTCTTGATATTTCATCATCACCAGGTGTGGTTGCAATAATATTTGACCCTCCCTTCCTCTCTGCAACGTTGCCGCTGGACACAGGTGAAGGGGCTCTTCCAACGCAAGACTCGTTCGTGGCTGGATTCCCTTCGCTAAAAGGTGACGTCCGCGTTGTTGTTGCTGCTGGCGCGGCCGACGGGCGGTTGATGCTACGTTTTCGGCCGGTGTGGCAAGCGTTTCGGTTATGGCTATTTATTGGTTGGCTCGTCGGGAGAGGTACGATGGTCCCGCCGCGTTTCTTCAGCGATCGCAAAGGAATTCTCGGGACGAAAATTGTGTACTCGATGGTGTCGATAATATGTCGTTTTTGCGTTCTGGTCTGGCAGTTAGCCTCGGTGGGGTTATTTGCGGCGCGTCTTGTGACACTTTCCTGCTTCGATGTACGTAGTGTATTGCTGGCAATGATGTTGCATGCTTGGCAATATGGGCCTACCATTGCCCAATAGATTCCTTGAAAGAGCCGAGGAAGACTGTACGAATTGTTGGAGCACCCTGGGAAGTCTTGTGGCCGTTGTTCACTCGTTTACAATCACGAGGGGGGGGAGCAAAGCACTGTCTTTCACAGCGCCTGGCGGTTTCGCCATGGCTTGGAGTGGGAAGACGGGGAGGGTTAGCGGATAGCATGGTGTTGATAATGACGCGGTGGGCGGGGGTTTGGGGCGTACCTCGTATTGAACGAATCGTCTGGTTTCTGCAAGACGAAGTTTACGTCTGTTGGGAACGAGGCAAGGTAGGTGCTCGGTCGATGGCTTGCGCGAAAGCGGATGATTTTCTTCCAAACAACGCGTGTCGGAGGAGATGTGGATGGTTGGGGTGTTCGTTGTTGGTAGGGATCGTTGGCACCCAGGTGGATTGGGTTTCGTGTAGCGTAGACCCGAGGCTTTCTTTCGCTCTTTCGAGGACGCCTTTGTATATATGATTGAAGGACTCAAGCGTAGGGAGCTGGGAATGGCGTAGAGGCGCATCATATGCTCACCCTGGCAAATCGAATTGATTGGTGCAGAATCTCCGAAAGTTACTTTTGTTTTCATAGTCAAAATTTGAATCATGCAGTCTATTTTCACTCGACATGCATAGGAGAGCATGCTAGACAGGGTTGGGTGGATTGCTTCTGGCAAAGAGTGATTTGAACTTTGAGATAATATATCAGTTCCCTCCTGCTGGTTACTCAGGGAGAGAGAGAGATGGAGCGAGAGAAGAGGATGAAGGTTTTTTTGTTCTTTTCTCTGCGTTAATAACTGAAGGCACCAGTTCCACACGAGGACCCCTTCTGGGTGACCCGGGCTGGTGTCTCAAACACACACTCTATGGCACGAGGCGTTTACGCACCTTGGTGCCTGGAGTATATGGGACGAAAGAACCACACGACGCGATACCCGTAGAGCCGTTGCTGAATGAAATAGCCTGCCTTTCTTCCACCGCGCAAGTTAGTGTTGCCCCAAGCCTTGTGTAGCCGACAGCTCATCTCTTTCCCGCCTTCCTTTAGGCTTGGATACACCCCCCTCTGTAACATCTGAAGGTGCTTGTTGCGTAGAGCCTCATCTCTCGGCAGGCTAACAAGTACGCCGTCATAAAACCGACTACATGCAGGCAACGCCGACAAACAATCGCTTCTCTCAGCCGGGAGGTTAGTCGTCGGTGGAACTCATAAAGGGAAGAGGCTACGCTTCCTCGTTTTCTTCGTCCGACTTCAGGCATTGGAAAATTTACCAAAATAACGTTGTGACTCACCGCTTTGTCTATGCCGCACACCGAAAGAAAAGCCGCCGCCACCACCTCGATTCACTCCGTCTAAGAAGAGAGTGAAGACGGTAAACACAAACTATTTATTGCATTCGGCCAGGACTACTTGAAGGCACGCTTCTTCCGTTTAGCCTCTTGGACATGTCAGGGGCACGGTCCGGGGTTTACTTGGATTGTCAGCCGACGGTTTTGAGGATACCGGTAGCATCCTCAAATTGTCAGAGCTTGCGCTTGAGCTCCTTGCGCTTGCGCTGGGATCACACGTCCTCGGCCAGCCACCTCTGCAGGTCGGTCTCGTCCACCGTGTCCAACATCCAAGCCCCGAGGCAGCGCAGATGGCATCCACGAGAAACAGATGGGCCTGCTTGAGGATGGTGTCGAAGAGACGCCTGCAGACCACGTCGCTGTACATGTGCAGGATCACCTGTTGCGTCCGAGACCGTTTGCAGTGGGCTCAAACTGCTGTGGGAAGACGTGTGCACTTAGCTGCTACTGCGAAGCTTCTGAGCTTCTCGAACCTCGAGAGGGTAGGCAGGTGCGGTACATTTGTGTGGAAATGGGGGCAGGTATTCCTCTTTCCCTTGTTTCTTTTCGGCGGTATGGGCAAATTCACTCTCTAGCATGAACAGCTCCGGCACGGTGTGACTGATGTATGCACCCCTCATGATGAAAATGGCGAGAATGATGTGTGCATGCTTCTCCCACGCCATGTCGGTCTACGGCTCAAGAACACTACCTCAATATTCACCGCGAACCAGCACTATTGTCTACACCACCTCAAAAAAGAGACTCTCTCTGTAACGTGCCCGATGCATCAATATTGACATCGCAACTACCCGGAACATGTTCATGCAAACCGAGGGCGAGAGTCACAAGGGTTTCAACGCTTACCTGGAGATTGCTGGTCGCGTCGAGATGACGATCTTCTTGATGAAGTCTCCAAGGGCATCGCCCACATTCTTTACGAAGTCGCCGGTAGCAATGCTCGTACGGATTGATTTCACCATTTTGTTGACTTGGCGCATGGTAACTTTGTGCGACTGGTCCTGGGCGAAGACCCACTCAAGCTCAACCGCGACAATGTCGTCCACGGCGCAGTTCGCTCTGGCCTGCTTCGAATCTACGAATTGCTCCACGAGGTTGGTCTTGAGCTCGTTGAGCAGGACGGCGTGGGCGGCGCAGGCGTAATGACATAACTTTCCGAGCGCCGCTTGGATAGAGGCCTTGACCTTTTCGACCAAGTCCTGGGAACGAACCCCGAGCTACCGGGAGAAAACCTAACAGAAGAGAGTATTGAACTTGCGCCCGCCGAACAGGTCGGGCAGAGCCATTCCATCCACACGCTTGAAAGCGGCGAAGACTTGTTCATGGTAATAACCACGAAGATGTCCGGCAGCACTTGCATGACGATTCGTTGCAGCGAGCGTGAGGGGCGGGGGAACGAGGTTCAAACGGGAGTTTTCACGTAGGCATACGCTGTGTGGGGCTCCGAGCGTTCAGCGACGGCACCTAAACTCAAAAACCAACCCACCATGGGAATTGTTTGGGGAAATATACAACTGCGATCGCGGGAGCGTTGAGAAACTCGCCACTCTCCACATTGATTCAGAGTTGTTCATTTGGTTTCTCTCTGGACGTCCTCCCTACTAGTAGTCATGTGATGGTGAGGGGGACGTGCTACATAGATGTTAAAGCCGTTGCCAACGTTTCAGATTTTCAACACCCAGAACGATCTTGGTCTTCGACACTGTGGAGTTCAGTGTTGTGTACGCAGGTGGTGTATACAAAGGATCGGTAGCAATAAGTGGTGAGAACGAAGGTGGTCATGAGTTTGGGCATACATCAGCTCGAGCCCCTATTGTGGAATGACTCAACGCGCAAAGTACGAGTCCGCCACATACCCCGGGAAACATCAATACAACAAGCAACGTACATGACGAATTCCAGGGCGTCTTGTATATTCCTGTCATGAGGGATGATGTTCATGGACTCGTCCTGGCCGGTGATCGTGCGGTTGCTTCCGAAAGTCAGGATATCCTTGAGCTCCCCGCTGACAGTGGAGATGACCTTGCGGAACGCCGGCCACCGTTCGTTGTCGCTGCACAAGACCTCCGGCATGTCGCCGAGCCCCTGGGTGAGCTCATTCGTGCGCCTCGTCGCCTGGGCGAGGAACTTGGGGATGAAGTTGGGGAGGAGTTGGGCACAGGAGGTGGGGGGTGCGTGGAAGGCAAATTCGATTGTTGTCGGGTCCAGACCACATCAGTATGAGCAAACGAGCGCTGGGAAGGAATTGGGAGACATCGGCAGTGATACCGGTGGAAGTTGAAGCGCCTGAGCCCTCGCCGTGATGTGGGCAAGGCGGGGGAGGGGAGACTTAAAACATATTCCCTTGTTTTTGGAGGCCAAATACTGTGGAAGGTAGGGCTAATTCCGAGGGCTGAGGCTTCCCCTATACGGCCTAACAGATTGGTTGGAAGCCCTTTCACAGCCGACTTTCAAGGAGTGAAGCCGTGTGCGGTAGCTTGCTCCTGGAGATAGATGAAGGTTCTGTCGTTGACACGCTTGTCCACGACCACGTTGAGATGGGAAAGTTGCTTGTTATTGCTGAGAGAAGATCAGCAAGGGTTTGGGATGAAGTGGGGATCCAACTTCATCTCAGGGGGTACACAATGTAGACAATTCTAAGGGGGTGGGGGTCAGAAGGGTATACCTCCTGACCGACCCGCATCCTATCAAAGATAAGATGTACCCTATTCATGCTAGCAGCCACACTCCTTAACACTAGCAGCCCACCCTGAATATCATATATTATGCAGATTCTATACTCAAAATCAATGCTCAAATAATCCTAAAGCTACAGTAAGATTTAGCTGATGATTTATGATCATGAATCGAAGATATGACTCTTCACAAAACATCCAAAAGGAGGGTGAGTTGTAGAAATATCCCGAATCAGACCCCCATACCATCATTGTGATGAAGAATGCGAACGGTCACGAGACGGAACATCGACATCTCAATGACAACGCTTGAAGGGATAAAGCTACGAAGAATATATGTTGCGGCAGAGTACGCTATCATCGTGAACAGACGACGACAGGGAAAAAAAACAATACCCAGGCGCCACACACCACTCTTTCACGCGCACCCGTGCGTATCACCGCTGGAGGAATGAGGGTGACTACCCGAGCGAGTCCAAAATACGGTGACGAAACTCAAAGCCCAAACAGATTTCCGAACGAATACGGCCTCTCATCATACTGGACGCGACGCAAAGGGAAAACTCAACGCAATACGGGATGATAACGAAGGGCAGGAGAAAAGAACGACAGGCAAAGGCACGGAGAACGACGGCCAGCGTGCCAGGGTACCCAACTCGAATAAGGAGACGGCAGGGGCAAGACCTATTGAGGACCAAGGATGCAACGCACAAGCGATTTATGCAAAAGGGGCGGTCGACGAACTGCGCCATGGCTCGCTGGCGATACGCATCATTCAAAGACATGAAACACAGAAAGTCGTAGAGATTCACACAACAAGACGACGACTCAGGGGCGCTACTGTGATGAAGGCGTCGCCCGAAGGTGGCGATAATGGAGACGAAGCAGAACGAAGTGTGGGTGACGACGAAAATCCATGGGAGAAGGCGACGCCACGGGATGGAATCCCGAAGCACCAAGCAAGCGTATGCGACACTTCTGCGGCACGATGGAACTAAAACAAAAAAAATTTAAGACAACATTAGTTGGCAAACAGGCGAACCAGGAAACGCGGGAAACTCGGTGTCCAAGTGTCCCGAGGCAAACATCACCGACGAAACTTGGGGAATTCTTTTTCCAAGTGTTCAGAGGCAGACAACACCGACGAAACTTCGGGGAGTTTGTTGAGAGAACCAAAGACCAACAACAACAAAAAAAATTGAAGCAAACGCGAGAGAGAACGGACATCCAGGTCGCGGCAGTTCACTGATTCAGATGAATGCAGGCAACAAGGAAGAAGGATCATTCGACACTGCGTGTCTTGAGGCGGCGTTGCCCCAGCGTCCAAAACAAAAATAAGCCAACGAAAGAAAAGAGACGAGGCAGGAAAACAAACAAAAAAAAAAACGCAAGGTGACAGAAACTCAAAAAACAAGAGGAAAGAGGTCGGATTACCGTTTGTGCGAAGGGATCTTTAGGGGGTTCGGGGGTAGGGTTTCCGGAAGGTTCGAAAAGCATACCGTGTTTATATGCGCGCGCACGCGGTTCTTGACGGTTTGGAGGTACTCGCTAGCTTGCACAGCAGTTGCAGTCTCGCAGTTGCACAGCTTGCAGACTGAGCGCGAGAGCTGTGCAGGCTCGCAGAGCCCCACCTGCTCGTATGTTCTGTAGAGGATGTTTCTGTGCGCACAGGGGACTCATGGTGTTTAGGAGAGGAGAAGAATGCTTCTAGAAAATCATGTCGGGACCGCGAAATAAATCACTCCAATAGGGGGTGCTGACACCGATTTGTATGTGCGCGCTACCGGGCTGCCGGCCGTTGGGTAAGGCGTGTACTGCTGCTGTACGAAGACCGAGTGGAATATCTAGCCGAATCTATGTGCTGTAGGTCTAGGCCTACTTTGCACAGCACCGAGATGCCGGGCCCGCTATTCTGTGCTGTACACGACAAAAAAAAAATGATTGCCCAGCAACGGTCGTCGGGACATTTAGTAGGCGCATCGTCATCAGCATCCAGATCTGCTGCTGCTGCTGCTGCCATCTGCGTCCAGATTGATAGTTTCCCAACGTCCAACCAGGCACAACAAACAACAAACATTACGACGTCTGAAGAAGAATGTTAATCTTTTCCCCAGTCCCCCAAAGTCACCGTCGAAAGCCTACCCACATCTCCGGCTCAGGCTGGAGGTATGCAGTAGGTACTGCTGTAGGTGACGCAAGATACCACACCCCCTGGACATATTTTCTAAGCTCGATTTCTCCTCAGCAGAAGGGTGGCAGCGCCGGAAACGCCGGCGGTGAGGCCATCTTCTCGAGAGCCTTCTGCAACAGTCGTTTCATGCACGCATTCTCTTCGTCGTGGAGTAATCGATGTTTGAAAATCGGTCCAGGGGGTATGGTATCTTG